TATAGTTATAATTTCAAAAAGTAACAATATACTTTCCCATTTCTTTCAAGTAACTAAACAGATTGCTTTGCAGTTATTAAAAAAAAACCCAAACACAAAGTGCTATAGGTTGGTGCCCTTTGCTACTAAGCATGCTTTCCTGCTGTCCACCTGGCTTTCACCTTACCCACCCACAATACATAACAGAGCTGCAAAAACAACCAAAAAAGTTCCAAAAACACTACAAAAGGAGGAAAGTCATCCCTCAGCAAGTTCCAATTGCAGTGTAATTTAATTTTACTGTTATTGATATTTGTAAATACATATCATCATACTTTGCACCTGTATGAGAAACAGCACATGCAAAATAATTGAGGGGTCTGTCCCTCAATTATTCTTTCTTACATGGGAGTGAGTCTGAGTTCAATGGAACTTACCTTTGAGTAGACCCATTGAGGATCCAATTATGTGACCTCGTTTTGTGCAATACAGAAAACTCATATTTGAATGTGTCCTCTCGAATTTCCTTTCATGGGGATGAGCTTTCAAAGGGAATGTTGTAAATACTTTTGTATATAGTTTTATATTTTAATCCATGTTTTTAATTATTGCTGGATTTGAATATTTTTGTATAGTGCCTTGGGTCCCCACTAAGAAAGAAAAGTGGGATTAAGATTACATTAAATAAAATAAACCACACCTATAGTAAACTTAGACCTGTCCTGGTCAAGCATAGTATAGTTATGCATTTCTCAGGCCAAGGTCATTGGATTCCCTATTGTACTCCTGATTAGTACATAGGGATGTGAAAACAATAAAGAAAACGAACAGAGAAAATTGGTTTGTCTGAAATATGATGCTGGAAGATAGTTCTGTGGATATTCTCCACAGCCAGAAAATGAACAAGTGGATTACATCAAGCCTGAACTTTCTCTGGGAGCAAAAACGTTGAAACAGAGGCTGCTCTACTTTGGGCACATCATGAGAAGACAAGACTCACAGAAACAGACAATAATGCTAGGAAAACCTGAAGGTGTTAGGAAAAGAGGACGGCCAAGTACAAGATGGATTGACTCTGTAAAGGAAGCCACAGGCTTGGGTTTGCAAGAGCTGAACAGTGGTCTGAGGACAAGTCATTCTGGAAGTCACTAATTCATAGGGTCATCATACCTTGGAGGCAACCTGACAGCATGTAACAACCTGACCAGGCATTAAAAAAAAAAAAATACAATGGTCAAGCAAGCTTAGGCATTTGAAGAGAAATGTTTACTTTACTTATATTTCAAGGATTAGCTCATAAATGTGAGGCATGAGTGGTAATGACTGAGTTTTATTTTCCCCTCTGAGAAATGTGGTAGCCATATTGGATGGTTGTTTGGTTATTTTCCCCAGGAACAAAAGTGTGTTTTCTATGCTTAAACCCCACCACCACTTAATGGGTCTTCATGAAAGACATTATTTTATTAATTCCTTGTGAAACACCAGGTAGGCCCAGAAGTCCCAAAGCCAATAGACCTGTCTGGTGTTTCACCAGGAATTAAGAAAATAAGTCACCTCCTAGTTCACCACCCTAAGTCCTTGGTAATGAATGGCTAAGAAAGACCCAGTTTTGATTCTGATCTATTCAGGAATCTTTTAGGATGTGGTGGTCAAGTCAAGATGGATCTAAACCAGGGGTAAGGAACCTGGCCCTACAGATGATGTTAGGCTCCAACTTCCATCATCCCTCACCACTGGCTCCTCTGACTAGGCATGCTGGGAGTTGGAGTCCAATTGCATTTGGAGGCGTGCACACACACCTGCCCCTGACCTACACAGTTTCAGATTATTGCAGAGGGATTAAATGGATTAAAAATTTAGGGTACAGGCTAGCTTTCATCTATGAACTGTTTTCGCTGCATTATTTAACCAAATCTTCATAGCATTTTGTGATGCTGTAGGATTAAAGTTCTACGAGCTGCCCCAAGCAGTATAAGGAAATCATTTATAGAAATTTTTAAAAATAAAATCCCAGTGTTTTTGATTCAGCCCACTGGTTTACAAGTCATGCTTTTCTGGAACGGAAGACAGTAAACCAAACGCAGATTATTGCAAGAGAGCAATAGAAGACTGATAGAAGCTCTCTAATTTTAAAAGGGAGCAGCGGGGTAGTTAGTCAAAATGTGCAGGGTTGTGTGCATTCTTTAAATGTTTAATTCACATGCTGCCGATGGTGTGGAAAGTGGGGGTGCTTGAGGAGAGGAAGGAGAGCATATTAATCATTAATCTTAACAACTGCAGACCTTGTGTCATGAGTGGGAGTTTGTGGCTCTCCCGTTGTTGTGGAATTACACTTGCCACCTTCCCTCAAGACTGGCTATCTTGGCTGGGGCTGATGGGAGCTATAGTCAAGCTATGTCTGAAGAGTCGCACCATTCTCATTGCCGCTGTATGAGTTCTCCTTCTGTGGCAGGAGTGGGCAAACTGCATCCCTCAAGATTAACTTGGACTGCAACTCCCAGTGCATACCATAGACTGTCACAAAGGCACAGTAAATGGGTTCTAGAGCAAAGCGAGCCTGAACTCTTGCTACAAGCTGAAATGACTCAAATGAGGCTATTATACTCTGAGCACTTCACTGGGAAGACTAGATTTGCTCAAAAAGAACAATAATGCTGAGAAAAGTTGAAGGTAGTAGGAAAAGAGGAAGACCGAATATGAGATGGATTGACTCCATAAAGGAAACCATGGCCTTGAGTTTACAAGAGCTGAGCAGGGCTGCTGAGGACAGGACCTTTTGGAGGTCATTAAATCACAAGGTCATCATAGGAGGGAAGTAACATGATGGTACATAAGAACAGCAAACTCCCACGGTTTCTGGCTACACTAACCAGGACTAAAAATAAAGTTGTCGTTCAAGAACAGCTGTAGGGCGACTCTTTACTAGTGAGGGCTGTTAATGTCAGCACATTTTGGCAGTCACTCGTTGTTAGCATTGCCATATGTCAGAGGCGGCTTAATGGCACATGGCAACAAGCATCCTAGTGAGAAAGCTGGTATAGCTCATTAGGTTTGATCTGGGGTTAAGAGTTCAAATCCCAACTGTACCTCCCAGGAGAGGGACCAACCGAGATTACCCGGAGTGTATGTGTGGCTGATTGGTTACATGTCCTGGTACCTGTGAGGATTTGGAGAAATAGTAGTGTCCCCAAGCACCACCAGAACAAGGGGCTGGTAAATCACCTTTGGGTACTTTATATGTGGAAAACCCTGTCAAAGGGTCTCACAAGTCTTGACCGCACATCTTTATTCTTATGATTCCACTGTGCTCCAGGGAGCACCAGGTGGCTGCTCTCCATCAGCCACCGGATGTTTACAGATTACAGACATGCCTACCTTGCATCCTTATCTGATCAAACAACTTAGTGTTTGTTTATTGAACCTAAGACATTGCTCCGGACTGGGGGTGGGGGGCAAAGTGTCGTTCTTTCCCAACACTCCCGCATGGGGCAGCCGCTCAGCATCCTGCACAGTGAAACGTCGCATGCTCCTAGCCTGTTCTTTTTTTTTTTTTTTTCAGGACAGAGAGAGAAAGAGAGAGGGGGAGGGATTGGATTGCCTTGGTAGCTTTTCTCCAGAAAATCAGGGATGAGGCTGTAGCTGAAGAAGAAACATGGAGAAGAGACAACATTAATGGCCCTGCCTCTTACCGCAATTGGGATAAGCAACCCTTAGGTCTCTGGGTGAACTTCTCTAGATATGAAGATCCCAACTGGATCACACCCAAGTCCTACTTAGTCCAAAACTTATGTCGACACAGGGGCCAACCAGTTGCTTATGGGAAACCCAGAAACATCCTATGAGTGCAATTGTGTTGTCCTGTGGAGGTTCTCCAGCAGGTGGTATATACAGAGACATACAACATCTATTGTAGGCCTTTGATATTTTTAAGGGATTTCATTTTTTTAAAATACATTTCTCTGGTGCTACACTGGAATTACTAAACCCTCATCATCACTACATGGCTCGGAAGTAAACCTCAACGATTCCTGTGAAACTTAAACTGCAAGGAAGTGGGTTGTTTAGGATCATAACCTGACAGTCCTATCTTACACAAATTTAGCTGGAAGTTTAAATCCTCGTGACTTGAAGAGTACATCCTTCTCAAGGAACAATACAAAGGATTTCAAGCCTCACATTCAGAATCCGCTTTTGCAGAAGCGGCGGTACAATTGCCCAGCTCCTATCGTTTAGAACAAAATGATCTAAATGAAACCAAGCAGCAAGAGAAATTCCACTTCTCATCAGATCAGAGAATGCAAAATGTCAGGAAATGGCTGGTACAAGCAATTAAGGGGGTATCAAAGGAGCCACATCACTCACCATATATTGAGTGAAATGAAGTGTATTAGAAAAAAGAGAGAGGCGAACCAATGTACCACCAATTGAAGGATGACATATAGGGAAAAGAGAACAGGGGATACATCCAAAAGAGCAAGGGTTTCCAACTGACACCTATTTATCTTAATTTTACCTAATTAAGGCTGGAGCAAGAGTCTAGGCTCTCTCTGTCAGCTTAGCACAGCTTGCTCTAAATAAGCCACTTCCCAATCGGAGACCAGTCAACAGAGGCCACATTTTAAACATTGACTTTAGAGGTTGATGTTAGTTTTCCTTTGAGGTTGTAATCTCACTCTGGCTTTTAAAAAATCAGTTTACAGCCTCAGTGTTGTATGTGAAGAGGCAAAAGGGAAAGACCTAGGTAATGCTAACTTACTGGTGTTGCTGTTCAGCACAGACCTTTCAAGAGAAAATACAACATTGACTGCTACTCAGTTCTTATCACAATTGATGGGTGGCCTGCACAGTTCCAAGCTGTCACTATTTATTATTGCCCCACTTTGTTTATGCATCTTAGTACTGCAGACAAGTTGCATGTTCCTCCCATGCCCTTTGGTCACTGCCATGGAGGTCCTCAAGAGCACCTTAAGATAGCCAACAGCCTATGTCACTCACAGGCTTTGCCCACTCATAGTACTCACCCAGACACAAAGTGTTCGGACAGACACTGTCTTTATGCAAACTCCTGCAGCCTGGGGTTCACCTCCTTGGCCTTCTTGCAAGTGTACAGCCATTTGATTATCCGAGCGTTGCGTTCTATCACTGAGGTGCCCGTCGGGACCTGTTCTGTAAGTTCCTCTTCCAAGAGTCCGTCGTCGCCGCTGTGCCTCGTGAAGTCACTCTCTGATGTGGCCATGCTGATGCTTCGGATCCGGAAGGAGAAGTTGTCAGAAACCACGGAGAAATTCTCTTGGCCAAGGTCCTCTATCACATCAGGTTCAAGGCCGCAGTACTTAAAGAAAGTGTCCAACTCTGAGAAAGATTTTGAATAGCGAGAACTAATGTCCGACTGGGAACGATGTAAACCTTTCCGCCGCGCCTCTTTTGCCTCATGAGGTGCTGTCGTCAAATTTGAGGTGTTTTCACATCTGCTGGTGAGAATAGCTGCCGGACTTGTTTTTGTGGGCACAGACCACCCTGCCAGGTCAGGGTTATGGCTTGTCTCTTTGATCAACCCAGTCCCTTCTGTTTGCGGTGCAACATCCTCCTTGAGGATGACTTTGGACACCTCAGGAGCCAGTTGTTTTTCCTTGAGGGAGCCCTGGAACAACCTTCTCACCAAACTCCCACGAGCACTTTCCTGGCTTTGACCTCTCACAAACTCACATTTCTGACGGTAGATCACTAAGGAGTCTGGTCTGACCTGCCTCTTGCCAAAGCTGCGCCTCACGATCGGAGGGCCACACTTGAGGGGAGCAGGGCCCGAATCCATGGTGCCAGCGACTCTGGACCTGGTGATTTGCCCCTCGGCCGAGCTATTGGCTTGCTTGGTTTCCACCGAACAGCTCTCACTGCTGCTCTCAGAAGCTGAACTGGGCGCCGTTGTCACCGCCACCAGCTCCTGCTTGGCGCTGATGACCTGCTGGCTTTTGACATACTTGGCCTTATCAGCTGCCAGTCTTTCCACGGCACTCTTCTTGCCCGGGTTGCCCGCCTCCATCTGCTTGCGAAGGTATTCTGGACCCTTGTGGAGAAGCCGGGCTGTGAGTGAGGAATGGAAGCCAGAGATGGCATGCATTCTCACAGTGTGAGAGATTTCAGTTGGCATATCAGGTTCAAGTGCCTCAAGCTGGCTCCCAGTCCAGGAAAAGAAAAGGCAAGGCAAGGGAAGAAAAGAAAAGAAACCAAATTTCGCAACTTCCCACCTCCTCTGCCTCTCTTCTGTCTCTCCTCCTGATGCAGAAGAAATCCAGGGAGCTTGTCCCGAGGAGCCAGCTCCTGCCACTGGTCTGTGGTGATTAATTTCTGAAGGAAGCAAATCTCTTCAGTCTTTAACTGTCTGTCCCAGCCGTACACTCTCTGACACACATCTACACACACACACCTCCACAGCTGCTTCCTTGCACATTCACCTTTCAGCTGAGCCAACCCCTCTGCAAGCCAGACCCAGCCAATCCTGTCGGAGCACAGAGGCCTCTCTGACATCACCAGGGAGGGAGACGGCTCCCCGAGGAGGAGGAGGAGGAGGCCAGAGGAGTGGCCCAGACCATCCGCACGCCACTGCCTCCAGCAAGGGCAAGCCCTGGGGAGAGTGTTTGCTTAGCATATGCTCTCAGCTGCTGCCACCTCCTCCTCCAGCAGCAATGCCAAGCAGCCGCGGCCACGACAGCAGCCACCACAGCTGCGAGCGTCTAGCGTCTCTTTTGCAGCCCAGGCTGAGGCATAGGTGCCGGGGAGGGAAGCATCATAAATGCCCCACTGCCCCTTTCTACCTTTTGAAGGGCAGGATTGGATGCCCAGGAATAAGCCAGACTGAGGGGAAACTTGATACGAGAGTGTCTGTGTGTCGCAGTGCTTAAGAGGCTGAGACACAAGACGCCAGTACAGCAATTCAGGAAGTACACAGGCTGAATCTCACCTCAGCTTTAAACTCCTCAGGTGACCTTAGTAAGCAGCCCAGGAAATGCAGACAAAGATCCAAAATGAAAGTGTGGAGTGCGGTGCATGTTGGCAGATGTAAGTACTCTGGAATTTGGCTGAATGAACATGAGCAGGAGCACGGCCATGCAAACGGAGATGGCCTGGAGCAGCTTCCTTAAAACGAAGACAGTAACGTGCAAGGAGAGTTCAAAAATGGGGATTGAGAACAAAGCCAATAGTATTTGTATAGCTACTGTTTTTAGCCTTTAAATATTGTCTTTTTAACAATGTAAGCCGTTTTGGGTCCTTTTTAAGGAGGAAGGCGGGATAAAAATATTTCAAATAGATTAATAAATTCTGTCTGTTCTTACTGGTAGTTCTGCTATGGGCCACGAGACTGAGAACTTGTAACACAGACAGCTGTAAAAAAAAAAAGTCAAGAGGGTGACCCATGAAGAAGTGTCATGCTGAAAGAAAAAAGACTTAAGATATTGTAATGCATATAAAGCGCAGGAAGTCAGAATATGTTCTTCATGAAAAACTGAACATACAAATTCTTACAGCTGATCAGCCAAGGTAAAAATGCATGGGGGGGAGAGAAGTGCAGGACGAAGAAAAGCTTACTGGGTGAGGAACCTGGGAGACAAATTTGGATACGGTGCAATATTATTGTTTGGAGTGGCCCCCTCCAAGGTCAAAACAAGCATGATGATGCCCAAACTTCAGTAGGAGTGGAACAGTGACGCAAAGGTGGTCTTAAGCAAAGTACTCTGAACCTTACGCCTCCTGTATCTGTGGTCCTTTAAACCTCTCTGTATGCCCATCTCTGTTTAATGACCTTCCATGAACTGTGAAAATCAAAAGAT